ATCATATGTGTGAATAAGCCTTTTAGCATCTCATGAAATCACTGATGGCTTCTGGTCTCGGATGTTTGCTGAGCTGCCTGCAAGAGCAAGTCCTCTGGAATCTTAGTCCAAGACAAGTGTCCATTTAGAAATGTGTCTGTGCCTCCTTTTCTCCTCAAAATGGAGACTTGGGAATTCTGCCCCTCCTCCTCCCTGCTACAGCTGTCAGGAAGCTTAGGAGCAAACCAAGTCTCCATACTCTGAGGTGCCTGCTCACATACATTCCCTGGGCTTCCTTCCTCCCAGAGCTCTTTGTTTGGTTTTATCCCCACAGGATTGCTTCTATCCTCTGTTTTAACCCTTAAGGAGAAGGGGGAGGGAGCTGCCATTTATAGTCTGGGGCTGAAGCATGCAGGCTGCTTGACGCAGCTGGCCCCTGGGCCCATGTCCCTCTTACTGCCCTGGGTACCTGGACCAGTTACTCCTTTCTCTCAGCCTCAGCCCTCGCATCCACAGCACAGGGGTGGTATTGCTCCTTCTTGAGAGGAGCTTGCCTGTGGGGTTGAATATGAGCTCATTTGGAACCACATCTGGATCTTCCTGGGTAGCAAATGATGGGAAGGATTACCAGGATCATCAGTATTCGTTACGATACTTCAGACCATTTGGAGGGGGGAATGGTCTCCATTTCTTACAGTGGGTCTTAGGGTATGGCTCCATGTGAGTGATTCCGTGGCATGAACATGGCCCTAGGTGCCATCCTCGGCTCTGAGCAAAAATTCTCGCCTTGGTCCTGGGCCGTAGATGCCATCTTCCTCATTTTACAGATCATTGAAGAGAAGTAGAGCCGTGGGCTGACTTGCTCTGGTGGCCCCGCTTTATGGCAAGTTCAGTCTGGCTTTTGAACCCAGCCTATGGGTGTGTGTCTTTCCACATGCTCCATGCTGCTCCTCTGACTAAGCAAGGTCCCACCAACCAGGTCCTCCATCTCTGAGAGGATGGTCACTTCAACTTTGTATTTGCCGTGTGCCTGTCTGCTGAGCTCTTAAGGAAATCCACATGTAGGCTGATTCAGTAGTTTCCCAGACTTGTCAGACATCCAGTTCACCTGAGACTTGTTAAGCATGCAGATTCCTGATGGAAGAGTGTTTCATGAAGAGTCAAAAGTAGATTATGGTCATTTCTTCTCTCCATACCACCATCTACTTCTTTGTACACAGGCATTGATTGGCTCCTACATGCCAACTGCTTCCACAAACCTAGGACCTTGTAATTCTTTTCTGGCCCTGCCCAAATCTGGCTGCTTCTCCAGTCCCATCACAATATCCACTCTTCCCCTACCTTTTGGGTCCCCATCAGTCTCACCACTCTGTCTCTTTGCCCATGTCCACTTTGCGGCCCCCTTTATTCTGTAAGCTGGTGACTTCTGAGTATATAGACAGGTGACCTGAGGGCTCCAGCTGAATCCCTCTTCTCCATGACTCAGAGCTGATGTCCCTCACCTTGTTGTGGGAATCACAGAGTCACCACTTGTCTCACCTTTACTGCCTTTTCTTGCTTCCCCCATCCCTTCCAAGACCCAGCTCCTGCTCTAGTCCTATAGGAAGTCCTCCCCATCAAATCTTTTCCCAGGCAGGTCACTGGCCTTTGGGGACATCTGGTCTGTCACTGACTCAGATCGTGAGTCTTCCCTGTCCCACAGCCAGGCATAGTAACCCATGTACTACTCTGGGTACTGACTGCATAGAGGGATTCTTTTCTAACCTCTGGTCCTCCGCCTGGGCTTGTTAGCACACATAATGCTTGAGAGAAGATCTCTTGGGGTGGCACATGTAGGAACTGAAGTGCAGGAATGGCACCCGTCCTAAGGCCATAGTGTTTTATTGGACACCTATGCACAACCACAGTACCATCGGTCTTCACACGTGAGGCCTCATTTTGATTGTCAACAGCGATGTGAACTGGGCATTGCCGTCACTGTTTATGAGGGAGCTGAGCCACAGAGGAGCAGAGAGCAGCCCCAGGTCACATGGCCAGTACACAACAGCAGAGACAGGACTAGCCTCAGCCACCCTGCTGGAGAGCCGGGAGGTGGACTGCCCCGATGCCCTGTCCTTGGCACCCTTCTGTTCCCTTCACACTGGAAGCCTCCTGTGGAGGTTGGCTCTGATTTGACTCTCACCTCTCCCACTCAGCAGAGTAGAGGCAGAGGCTCCTTGGGGGCATCAGCCTGCCCTGTGGCACTATTTTCTCCTCCATGGCCTCTTAGCTGTAATTGACTCCTTCCCTATAACATATATCAGAGCCCAATTGGTGCTGTAGTCATGTCCACGGGAGTGCCTCTTGCACACACAAATGTGCACACACACACACACATACACACCAGGCCCATCCTTCACATTCTGTAGCACCATTCATCAGGCCTGTTTTCTTTCACTATTTTTTGTATGTGCATATGTGTATGTACATATTTGTATGTTTCCATGTGTGGTGTGTGTGAGTACACATGTGTGTGCATTCATGTGGAGGCCAGAGGTTGATGTCAAGTGTATTCCTCATTGGCTCTTTACTGATGCAGCATCTCTTGGTGAATCGGAAATCACTGAGTCAGTTATTCTAGCTAGACAGCTTGCCCAGAGGATCCCGTGTCTTCCTCCTAAGCACTGAGATTACATGTGGACCACCACACTCACCAGGCTTTGTATGTGGGTGGTGGAGATCCACACTCCAGACATTACACTTGCACAGATAGCACTTTATGTACTAAGCCATCTTCCTAGCCTCTGGTTTCTAAGGCTTGTTGCCACTATCTGTGCAGTTGTCAGTTAAGTGGCATCTACTCTGTACCAGGGAGTAGTCTGGATACTCCCTAGCTACCATTTAAAGTGGTGCTCAAGGCTCAGGGAGTGAATGCTGTTTGCATCTTACGGACAGAATATGAGGCCAGAAGTGGGCAGGGATATGTCTGAAGGAACACAAGCACCTTGTAAAGGAACTAGTGGGACTGGCCTGTCTCATACCCTCCCGGGAAAGTGCTCTATCTGCCCATGCACACTGACTACTGACTTGCATCTATCATATAAAGATGTTCTTGTGTACATTTGTGCAGATGTACCTAGCATACACCATCTTTGATTAGTAACAGCCTGTATAGAAGTAAAGCAGATCTGCTCTTCTGGGTTTCCACAACCTGTGCCCTTTTCATCATATAACTGTTCTATTAAGAACAGCTTCTGGCACTTGACAGTTACCTAACAAATTTAAATTGAGTCTTGGTACAATTTGAATGCCTAATGATGGTTTCCCCAAGTGACCATGCACTATGAACAATTTATAATAGTTTTGTTTCCTCTGATCCATCAAATATAAATTTGGTAAGTAATTGCAATGCTCCATCACCAAAAGGTGGTGGTCCATATGAGACTGGACTAGAACAGATTTGAAATGCACTTGTGAATTACAGCAGGCTCACCCTCCCTGGAACTCCTGGTCTTGTGCATCGCATTACTCAGCTCACCCCTGGGGCCTGGTGCAGAGCTCCTGATAACCAATTTCCAGAAGAACAAAAGAAGCTGGGAGCATGGTTTTTAGATGACATATAATGATAAGGAGATGGAAGTTGAGCTGTGTGCTACAGCCCTGCTCAGATGTGGTCCTGATAGGAAGGAAAGAGGAAAGGATCCACTTTGGAGTCATGCATATGCTTGTCTCTTTATCCAGAAAGCGACCTGTAATCCTAGCACTTCGAAGGGAGGCAGAAGCAGAAGTATCAGGAGTTTAAGGCCACCCTGGGCTATTTGAGATGCTGTCTGAAAACAACCAATAAAACAAATAAATAGAAAGCAACCTGGCCAGAAGCCTGGATCATTGTTGATTAAGTCTGGCCAGAGGGTCAGAGAACAGGGAGAAAGTTTGAAGACTTGACAGTGATAACAATACTGTAATAAAATACTTAAAAGGCATACATTATGTGCCAGGCACAGTTTGAATTGTTTTGCCTACAGATATTTTGAGGAGTAAGTGAATACGTATCTCAGAACAGGCTGTGTGAGAATAATTGTGTCCTATGCGCAAGCTGACCAAAGGAATTCTATCAAACTGTTTAGACAAGCCAGTGCTTGCTCAGTGAACCAATGTATAATTGTCCTAGTGCAACATAATTTCAATATAGATTGACCTTCAGAGGACTAGAATTTGGTTCCCAGTACCCATGTCAATGGCATACCACCTCGTATAATTCTAGCTCCTGGGGATCCAATGCCCGCTCCTGTGGGCACACACATACACATGTGCATACACACATACATACACACACGTACATAAATAAAACTAAATCTTAAAAAAAAATTTATGTGTATGAGTGTATTGCCTGCATGTAGGTAGGTGCACCCATGTCATGCAATGCCCTCAGGGGTCAAAAGAGGGTGTTGGATCCCCTGGAACTGGAGTTACGGACGGTTATCAGCCACCATGTGGGTGCTAGGAATCAAACTCGGGTCCTCTGCAATAATAATCAATACTTTTAATTGCTGAACCATCTCTCCAGCCCTCCCAGCCCTCTTAAAAAGTATTTTTTATGCCGGGCATGGTGGCACACGCCTTTAATCCCAGCACTCGAGAGGCAGAAGCGGGCAGATCTCTGTGAGTTCAAGGCCAGCCTGGTCTACATAGTGAGTTCCAGGCCACCTGGGGCTACAGGGAGACCCTGTCTCAAAAAGACCAAAAAGTAACTTTTAACACAGGGTCTCAATAAGTTGCCCAGGCTGGTGCCGTGACCTCACTCTGAAACAGGCGGGCCTTGATTTTCCTACTTCAGCCTCCCAGATAGGTGGGATTGTAGGCCTGAGTCACCAGGATGGCTATGCTTATTCTTTATGTACAGTATATTTGTGGAAAAATATTTCAAGGGCAAGAGAACAATTTGGACAAAAACTGTCTAAAATCTTCTTAGAGGGTGATAAATTAGTGGTAAAATTGCTCAAAGAGCTCTTCCTACTCCTAGCCAAGGGGAAGATACATGATGTAATGTAAAATTATTTGGATTTAATTAATGATATACTAAAGGAATGACTGGAAATTGTGAAAGTCCATTACAGTAATGGCATCCAGGCTGATAAAGGTGACAAAACAAGGTCCTTCCCCATTTTTGCCTGCCACTCCCTCTTCTGTGCCAAAACACTCCCCCACTTGCCAAGGATGACTTGTTCTTTCTGCCTATCCTACCTGCACTCAAGGCCTGACACTTAGGAAAGAGCCAATCCGTTGTCCAACCAAACTATAGGTTTCCTGGAAGGAGAAAACTCTACAAACTCTAATGCCCTGCAGTGGGAACATAGTGGGAATGGCAGAGTTCTTCATGATTATGATTCACTCTTAATGCTATCAAACACTTTGATCTCAATTTTTATCAGAACCACAGTACCTGAGTTCTTCAATACCCTCCATTATCTCCTAGCCCACATTTTCACATAGATAGTACCTGGGAATGAGTTGCTATGTTGAATAGCTTCAGTTGTCAACTGACACACTTGGGTAGAGGGAATCTCAGTTGGGGAATTGCCTCTTTTGGCCTGTGGCCATATCAGTGGGGCATTTTCTTGATTACTGACTGATGTGAGAGGGCCTAGCCCACTGTGGGCAGTACCACCCTTGGGCAGGTAATCCTGTGTTATGTAAGAAAGCGGGCTGAGCACAGGTCAGGAGAACAATCCAGTAAGCAGCATTCCTCCATCGTCTGTGCTTCAGGTTCATGCCTTGAGTTCCTCAGTGATGATCTGTGACCTGGGAGATGTAAGATAAAATAAATCCTTTCCTCTCCAAGTTGGTTTTGGTCAGTGTTTACATCACAGCAATGGAAAGTAACTGGGGCAGATACCTTTGGACACAGTACCCACCAAGTCCTGACTTTGGCTACTTGTCATGGGTACCACCCAGCCTCCCCAAAAGACCATGACATGTACCCTAATGGAAGTACTTCTGCTTCCAGTGAAGACTACCACAGCAGTCAAAATGAAAGTGGGTCTAAACTGATGGCCATAGTCAAGAGCTGTTCCTCTCCAGCTGGAGCTTTTTTAAAAAAATCACAAGACCCATGCTAACTCAATCAGACAAGGGCCCAGAGTAGAGTGAGGGAAATGGGCGGTGGGCTGGCCCTAGCCTAGGAACTGTTGGAAACTGAATACCGCTGGGTGGTGAGGGTGCGTAGAACTTGACTAGACCCCAGTGGTTGAACTTGCACCAAAGGACATCTAGGTACAGATGCTAGACCAGATGGGACATAACACATATGGCAGAATACATGAAGTCTGGTGGGAGGGCATGAATGGGGAAGGGGGTCGAAATTTGATTAATAACTCTTGTATGAAATGTACAAAAGTTCAATAAGTATTTTTTCAAATCATGTTTCCTAAACAATAACTGTTCTTTAATTGTTTATACAGTGTATAAGAGGGAAGAGATGGCCATTATAAGGGCCTCATTGCTCACAAGACTATCCTAGAGATTAGGAGTCTGGTATTATAGGGATTGTAGAGTCTGAAGGATTCTCCTCACAGACAAAAGGAGCAAAGCAAGACTCCCCCCACTCAAGTCAATCTCCAACAGCCTGAGTGCCTTATCTCTTAGTGAGCCATGTAGCCTGGTAGACACTACCCTCAACCACAGGAGGGGCCTTTGCTTCCTGCTTCATAGTCATCTCTTTTATCCCTACTCCTTCTCCCAAACAGGTGATTTGACAGTCCATATGGATAATCCAATACTCTGGCCTCTCAAGCCATTATCCTCTCGTTCCCCAAAATTATCTTCTTTCCCTTTCATCACTACTCCTTGGACTTTGCCATTACCGAGAGCTTAATCTACTCTATCTTCTAACAACCATCCCAGTATGTAACTAATCCCCCAGTTCAACCTTAAATTGTTTCTACACTCTTCCCCAGATACCTACTTATTTAACATGGAGTCCTAATTCTTAGACTTAAGACTCCTACCTACAGAACTCTACACTGGTCCTCAATCTTTCTCATATACTCCTCATCCTTCTCCAAGTCTGCCTAGGTCCCACTGTCTATCTCTTCTGCCACTCTACATAAGTACTGTAGGTCAGGCACCAAAACACAGTAGATAAAACCTAGACTCGGCATTTGCTGCCTTCAGTCCTGTGTCCTTATTCCAAATCCAAATGACAGAACTCAAACCCTGGAGTAAACCAATACTCATTTCCTTAGTGGCTATACCCAGAATATCAATCACAGCCTTGTCCTAACCCCACTGCTGCCCAAATCTAGCCACTCTGTCCACTATTAGGACCTTCACACTACTTGACATCTCTCTTGAGTACTATCTAGACAGCGCATTTGCAGCCCAGACCTCTCATCTCCTCAAGAATTGGGCTGTATGAATCAGTGTTCAACTTCTCCTTCTCCAGTGGCTCCTCCCCTGTTATGTCACACTCTTCTCTAAGAAAATGTTCCTGTCTGGGTCTCTCTTTAGCCACTCACCTCTTTCTCCTTTCATGCACATTTCTCAAAAGGAGAGTCTGCACATGGTGTACATGAGGCCTCCTCTTTCTCTGCTGTCTATCACAGACCCTCTCAGGTCTCTCCTTGAAAGAGTGTCCTCTGAAACTACAATCTCTGTGACTCTACCCCAGAGAAAGCCCATCTACCCTAGAGGAAAGTGAGGCCAGGGAGATTTGCTAATTCTCAATCTCAGGAGTCCAACAATATCACTGAAATAGAAACGTTCCCAATTCTTTTTAAAATGTGATAGTCTTTTTTCTTTTTAAAAAAAGCAATAAACTCAGAAATGGCAAACAGATTTAATGCAGAGTGTTGACTTCAATTGACTGATAGTGGCTGCCTAGAGTGCTGTGTCGAGTAGGTTTCTGAGAGCACACCCTGGCTTGAGAAGACTGCTGGGATTAGCAAAATCTGAAAATACAAGTAAAGGAACACCAGTCTGTTGATATCATGCACATGTTCCATGTTCATCTCCAGCCCAGGCTTAAGTGCCCCATTTTCAACCCCATGAGCCCCAGCTACCCCCCTGCCACCAGTACAGATACCTGAATCTCACTTGTAGGAGAAACCACAGGCACCGGAGCTGCCACTGGTTCTGGCACCAGCTCCACTAAGACCAGCAAAGAGCCCAAATGTGAGAGTGGCAGTCAGGCTGGGACGGGTACTGAAGCCACCACTAGCACTGGCACCAGCACTAGTACTGGCACTGGCACCAGCACTGGCACTGGCACCATCACTCTCTTCGCCTTTGGCTTTAGCTTCAGCTCCTGCCTGGATCCTGGCTTTGGCCCAAGGTCCGATATCAGCTTCATCCCAGTTGCAGGGACCGGCAGCATTCTCAGAGCCAAGCCCAATGCCCATTTGAGCTCTAATCTCGGCCCTTGCCTTTGCCTCAGCAGCAGCCTCAGCTGCAGCCTTCAAATCTGCTTCCATTGCCTCTCGGTACTGAGCTGCCCATTCTTTGGGATCCTTCTTTTGCACCTAAAATGAAAAGAAAAAAAAAAAAACATTGGAACAATCACAATCAGAGGATTTAGCACTTACTGTTTGCAAGCCACCATATTACGTGCTGTATATAAGAGTAATAATACAGTTAGTACTAGCAAGCCTGCACCTCCCATTCATTACATCCCTCATTGACATTTACTGACTCTCTGAGCTGGACACATCACCTACCAACTTCTCTGAGCTGGTTTTCACATATACAGTATAGCAACGCTATATGAGTTGTAAGGATTAAATGATCCAGATACAGTGCCTATCACAGTGTTTGATAACTCAAAGAGGCTTAAACATGTTTAGACATGAACTTCAGGCTTATTGGAATGGAGAATGTCCCAGCCTGAGACACCCCATGATCTTCATAGGCCAAATACAAACAGCTCTCCAATTACCTTACAAGCAAACTTGAGGACTTTCATCTTGCTGGTCTCATAGTAAGAGCGCAGTCCCCAGAAGAACTCATACTCGGGAGGATTGCTATTGGGTACTCTGGCATAATCCAAGTACCTTAAAAAAAAGAGGTTGAAAGCCAGTTTCTAGGGCCACTCATGGACTACTGGTTTATGGACTTGAGGTTGTAGACAGACACATCCCCAACTAAATACTGCACCACCCCCCCACTATCGAGCCCTGTCCTATCGCTCCTGGCCAGAAGCCATGTGGAAGAACAGAGGAGAAACATGTAGGGCATTTGCTCACAGGGAGGTCACAAATGTCGTGCTCCTCATCACAATGGCCCCAGATTCCTGTTGGGTGAGTTGTAAACAGAGGAGCCATTCTTCAGGCCGTCTGCTCTGAGCACACCCTGCTGGAAGGAGGCCTGGCTATGCTCTGGAAAGATCCACTACAAAAAATGTCTGACTGGGCATAATTACCTTTAATCACAGCACTCAGGAGGCCAAGGCAGGCTGATCTGTATGAGTTTGAGGTCAGCCTGGCTCCAGGCCAATCAGGGCTATATAGTGAGACTGTCTCAAAAAACCAAAATCAGACATGGAAGACTATAAGGAGCAGGGTGTGGTAACATGCCTGTAATCCCAGAACTCAGCAGACTGAGTTCAGGGTCATCCTTGGCTACATAATGAGTTTGAGGAGATCCTGTCTCAAAAAATAAAAAGACTACAAAGAAAGAAATAGACAGTCTGGGGCTGTAGAGATGGCTCAGCGGTTAAGAACACTGGTTGTTCTTGCAGAAGACCCAGGTTTGAATCCCAGCACCCACATGGCAGCTAGAAACTTGTCCATAACTACAGTTCCAAGGGATCAGGCACCCTCTTCTGACATCCGAGGACATTGTATGACATGGGTGCACTTACATACATGCAGGCAATACACTCATAGACATAAAATAAAAATGATAAATACAGTATTTTTAAAAGAAATAGCCAGTTAAGAACAGGGTACTTCATTTTTTAAAATTATTTATTTATTGTTTATTTTTATGTGTATGTTATGTTTGCATGTATGTAAATGTACCCATGTTGTGCAAAGCCCATGGAGGCCAAAAGAGGCCAGAAGAAGGCATTGGATCCCATGGAGTTTTGAAGAGTTGTTAGCCGCCATGTGAGTGTTGGGAATCGAACCACGGTTCTCTGAATGAGCACCCAGTGTTAGCAACTGCTGAGACACCTCTCTAGCCTCTCATGTATATTTCTGAGTGTGTGTGTGTGGGTGGGGTATGTACCTGTGTTTGTGTATGTGAATGCTTGCATGTTCTTCTCTGAGGCCCAGTGACCCAAGGTGGAACCCTACTCAGAAAGTCAAGAGGGTAGCCTTTCATTACCTAGGAGCCATGTTCAATCATGCCCTCTTAGGGACTCATACCCCTCAACTGTAAATGGTGGATAAGTATGAAAATGAAATCAGATGTACAAGTCAGGTTCCAGCATAGTCCCCGGTTTCCAAAGGCTACCATTCAAGGGAATTTTTGATAGAAATTCATTTTTATGAAGCTCTATCTAGCAGAGTAATAATTATCAAGGCATCAGAGCCATGTTCCAAATGCAACTCTCATTTTCTACCTATGTAACTCTGAGCAAATGACTTCACCTCTTTATGTCTGCTTCCACATGTGTGTAATGCTGACAATGACACACACCCCCTTGAGGAGTTGTTCTGAAGCCATAAATGAGAGACTATGTAATATTTAAGATCTATGATTGTCCCCAGAAATAGCCTATGACAGGCATACACACAAGTACACTTCAGACCACAAACACCTGCGCACATGCACATAGACTTGCACAGACCATAGCTTTAGCACTCTGTTCTGAAATGGGCAAAATGCATGGAACACAACAACACTAGACACAGGCACCTACTTCTGCTTCACAAATTCATCAGTAATGAGCTTCTTCACATCCCCAAAAAGTGAATGATGTATCCTGAGAGCGTAAGAAAGAAAACCGAATAAACAAATATATACAATTAGGACTGTCTAACTTCCCAGATGGCAGAGGCATTTCTAAGATAGAAAAGAGATTTACAGCACAGGAGGAAGCTCCATGGGAGCTCAAGAGACAGTGAAAGGGTGAGCAAAGACAAGAGCAATTTCCCCATTCACACAGGTCAGAACCCTGAGCCCACTACCCAGCCCAGCACCTGCCCCCCTCCACCAGACCACCAGGCTGATGCAATCCTGGGACTGTCATCTCTTGCCAAAGGACAACATGGATAGCAAGCGCTGAGAGAGCCCAATCATACCCAGGGCGCAGTCCCAACTTGCGCAGCACCTCCCAGATGACAGCTGCAAGGGGAGGCAAGAAGGAGACAGAGACAGAAAATGAGCATCTGGAATTCAGACAATGGCCACCTATTCAGCTGCATGTCCAGGTACTCACCCTCACTGGACCGATTTCCATTCATGAAGATGATGCTAAGAAGCACCATTAGGAGACCCAACTTAGGTGAGTCCTTGGTTCTAAGGAATAACGAGGCAGAAAGTTTACAACTACAAGCCATCCACAAGACACAGCAGCCTCTTCCAGGTTCCTCAGGTATGGAAGAATTCAGCCTAGTCTAGGGCCCCAGTTGTCTATGACCCAAAGCATGGTGCTTTCACCATCGAGCCAAAGTCTCCATTCAGCTAAATGAGAAATCGCATCCTACCCCTCCCTATCCAGGATTGAGGAGGAGATGGAAGAATGCCTGTCAACCTAGGATAATGTAGGCACTCAGTCAATAGGAGTCCTTCCTTTTTCTCCCAAAGCCCCCACTCTGAGACAATTCTAGACAGAACCCCAGTGACAATCTTGCCCTCAAGCATCATGGTTACCCACATCAGAAAGGCCTCCCTCTCTTGAGAGCCAGTCTACCAGGCCAGGCATTTGGCAGAAGAGACAAGCAACAATAGGCTGACTTCGTGGGAGCTGCTGGAGAGAAAGCCAACCTGATAGCAGGAATGCCCCACTCCAGGCTCTGGAACCCTTCCATCAGTCACAATCTGGCACCACCACTGCACACACTCCCAACCGGGTATGGGGCTGGGGCAGGGGCTTTTAGGCCCTCTTTCCTGGGCCTCTAAGAGGATATGGGACGAGAGGGCAGGGAAAGGGCAGTACCGTGGATGAAGCAGAAGCCCCTTCCCACCCCAGCATTTTCCCAGCTTACGTTCCCAGTATGCCTGCATCAGTAGGCTCTAAGGTGCTGAGGAGAATATACAAGTGGTCACTCTTATCAATTTCTTTCAGCTGAATTCCAAATACCTGTGGATGGGGAGAATAGCTTATGAAATCATAAAAATTAGCTTCCCAGGCATTCTGTAGCTTCCTCATGTACCTAAGGGTATTTGTCCGTGTGAGAAATTGATGGCATAATGTATATAAAACACATAACTAAGTGCACATTAAACATAACATATGCTGGTCATCCACATCATTTTTGTGATCAGTGGGAACCTAGGGAGACAGAGAGATGAGCATCTGGAATACATGAGGTGATGTACCCAGCAGCAGACAGAAGCCAAGACTACACTAGCTGTATTTTCACCACTAACTTACTGTGTGACTGATCTACACCCCTCCCCAGGCCTCTGTGTGTTCATCTGCAAAATGATGGAAATGTATTAGCAGGTCTCTGGGCTTCCCCTCAGAACGGTCATAATGCACCTTTGTTCCATTCAAGGCTTCCCCATGTACCCATCCCCCAGGGCTGCCCCTTCACCTTCTCCAAGGAATAGCCTGCTCGTTCAATGATTTCCGGATACACATCAGTATATTCTTTGATGATGTCCTTCAGCATGTCTGCAATGGGAGAGTATTTTAAGAATGTCAACTGAAGAGTAGCCAAGTGACCCTCACGCCCAAACTTTAGACCCCTTGTCATCCATGCCTTGAGTGGCATAATCAGCTTCTGGGCTTATCAATAGAGACTCCACTATTGCTGTTGCTTTGGAATGAAAGACTGGAGCAGAAGAGTGAAGGATGTCCCTAGTACATGGCCTTGAGAGAAGGCAAGGGAGGGCAGAGGTCAGTAGAGGGAAAGGTTTGTAGGACTCTACCTGAGCGCCTGATGGGAATCTTTGTCTGGTCTTTAGCCAACAGGTACTTCACCAAATCATTTGCCTAGAAGAGAAGGAAATGGTAAAAAAGATTGAAATAAGCTTTCAGAAAACACCAAAGATAAGAGAGAATGGCAAGCAAAGCAGTGGAAAACGCAGGATGGAAAGAAGTTCTTACCCTTCCTTGTAAAAGGGCCACATCTCGAGGTGGAGGTACTTCAGGTTCTTGGGATGACTGGAGCTTGGCAGCTCTACGACGGGCCTTACCCCTCCGAGCTCTAGGTGACCTCAGGGAGAGCAGAGCTCTCCGGGCCCAAGCAGCCAACCGAGTCCTTGATGCCCTGCGGGCCCAAAAGGCTATGGGTCCCCTTGAAGCTCTGCGGGCCATAGAGGCCATTAGGGCCTTTGAGACCCTTCGACCACCTGTAGTTCCAGAAGCCTGACTCTGATCGCTACTGGCATCCTCTTCCCCTTCCAGGTGTTTCACCTGCATCAACAGGGAGGAAACTAGGCATCACCAAGTGAAACAGGTGGTCATTCCTCCTAACCCTGACTCTTCCAGGAAGGACCCCAACCCCAGTCCTGTGCCTTCAGTAATAGCCCAACTCACTAGGCACTAGCCATCCTGAGTTCTGGGCTTATCACTGACTTCCAGTTGGGAACTTCATCCTTGAGTGGATCAGGAGCAACTCAGAAACAAGGCCTGAGGCTTTTCTTCTTGCTGTGTTCACCACTGGCTCTGCTTGTACCACCCTGGACAAGTCATCTCTCTGGAAGTCTGCTTCCTTCTCTATAAAACTGAAATTCTAAGGAGTTACTTCCAGCTATAATGAGACAACACATGTGAATATGCCTAGCTCAAAGACTAAAAGTGTGCAGATACTATGTAATATAAACCGCATTATATTCACATTGTAGCTCTGTGCATTCCCGTCATCTCCCCACCAGCCTGTGAGGCCTGTGGATACACGAATTATAACACAGTCCTCTCAGTGTCCCCTGCAGTGTTAATAAGCACAGGGATCTTTCTAATGTTTGAACCCAATGAGAGGATAGATGTGGAGAAGCAAGGGTGTTGATTGCAGAGATATTACCTTTTGGGCATTCTTGGCTTTGACCTTGGGCCGAGTATCCTGATTGATCTGAACCTGGACAGCTGCACCCTCAGACTCAGGTTCATCTGCTCCAGCCTGAGAGGCAGCACCTTCAGTCTCCGGGACCTTTGTATTGACCTTCAGATCAGCCACACAGTCGACCTTTTTGGTCTGAGTGGCAGGCATCGCCATAGCCTGCAGGTCAGCCTTTTGCACCTTCGGGTCAGCTGCTGGGCTCTTGTTTTCAGCTGCCAGGACCTGGGTATCAGTCTGCTGTGTGGTAGTTGAGGTCTGGGTGGCAGCAGCCTCGGGTGCCTCTGGGGACTTTGAGACTTCTGTAGCTTTTGAGATTCCTGAGGCTTTTGAAACCTTTGCAGCCTCTGAGACCTTTGGTGCCTTTGTGGCCTTTGGCATCTCGGAGACCTCCAACTTCTGGGTCACTGTCAACAGGTTCTGCATTGAATTGCCTCCCTTTTCTGAAGCTTTGACCTGTAAGGGGAAGCAGAGAAACGTGTTGACCTTCTTCCCACCCTCAACTAGGCAAACGACTCCAAAATTCCAAGGCTACACTTCTCTGACCTGTAATGACTCCTACCTGCAGTATGTTCCGACCACCTCAGCCCATCAAGTCCTCCCCTTCCTCTAAGCAAAAACTAATGACAGAACAAGGGCCCACTCATCCTCTCTCCCTTTCCCCCTCCACTGAGAAGGGGGATACACCCAGGCAAGGAAGTGGGTGGAGAAAGACAAGGATGGGAGGGGAAGCATCAAGGATTTGGAGCAGCAACAGGGTCTGTTAAGGCAAAGTAGCAACGGAGAGGAATAATGAGGTCTTACCTGAAAGCGAGTTGGACCCGCACCACTCTCACTTGTGTCAGACATGTCTCAAATTCGCCTAGCAAAGCTGAGCCTGAAGAGAAGGCCTGGGTCAAGTGAAGAGACCACTGATAGTCCTATGCCTTGTTCTTCCTAGGAGCTGATCCTCACCTTCTCTATGGCCCCAATCCCAAATCCCTCCCCCAACCCCAAGGAGTCTGTGCTAAGATACAGAAATCCAGAGTCTAGGTCTCAATTCTCTGCAGCCGCACCCTCCCCTTCTCCAGGAAGATGTGCCAGCGCGGCAGCTCTGAGGACCCCGCCCCTTTTCCCAGCTCACTCCCCCACCCAGCCGCAAGTCTATAGTGCGCATGCGCGTCTGCTGCGAACTGCTTCAGCGCCGCCTGCTTTCGCAGCACTAGCTGGTTCGCCAATGTTCGCCATGCGCATGCGCATTCGGCAACTAGCGCTGTCTCCGAGCTGGCCCGTCTCTACACGCCCCTTTCTAGCTATACATACGGCACATGCGCAATGATCACAGTCTCAGTCCAGTACCCTACCCCCTACACACGCCCCTCTTCAGGTCCGCAGTGCTGTTCGGCCCCGCCCCCTCCCCAACTAGCCTCCCTTCCAAACCATTGCAGTGTCTGGAGGTCCCAGCCCCTCCCTTACTCCACCCTACCAATTCCACAGTGCCTCCAGGTCCCGCCCTTTTACCCAAACACGCCCCCCTCCAAAAAGCAAAACCCATCTTGGTTCGGCCCCTTCCCTATAACACCCCCTCCTCAACTCAGTATTGAACTAGAGATTCCATCTTGGGCCCAGCCAAACGAGGTCCATTCCCCTCCCTTCCTAGCTTGATGGATTCCTCACGATCTGGTCCTTAAGGCTAGTTTTCTCCAGATCCCAGAGGGTGGGGCCGACCCCTAGAGGGCTCTCATCCAAAGCCCAGCCCGAGGCTTACCTCGTCTTTCTTCAATTCCTGAGTGCGTCCACTCTCTTCAAGCCCCTCCGAAACTCAGAGGCTGCCCTCCCCACTCAAGGCCGGAAGTGGTCCCGCCCCTTTCCGCCTCCCTAGGGGGCCTCCGTCCCAGCCAGTCTGCCCCTCCCCCTCACTCCTTATCCGCCCCCCTATTCCTTCAGCCTGGATCCTGACTCCCTATTTCCCATTGCATTTTCTATTTACCCTACAGAATCTCCTCTTGCCATTCTTAACATCCTCCTCTGTATTACCTATGCACACCCTTCCCCCGCCCGGTGTTCCTTAACTCCTCTCTGCACCCTGTAGTCTCTTTACTGGATCTCCACTCCCCCTCAGTATCCCTCCACTTAACATGCACGGTTCCCTCTTTTTCTCCCCATCACCTCCGCTAATCTCTGCTGTCCAGCCCCCATATACAGCCCACTACTTTCTTGGTCGTCCTCATTCTCACACCCCATTCAGCGGCACCTCTACTCCAGTTACAGTGGTGAAATAAGAACTGCCCACCTGCCTGGCTGTGAGTTTCGGGGGTTGAAACCACTGTCTGGCTGCCAGGAAACCCCAATCTTGTCCCCCTCACCTTATCCTCGAAGCGAGTCTGGGATTCGTGTGCCCGCTCTCAGTCCCCCTCCAAGTCTCAGGCTCCTGGACTGCAGATAGCCCAGCCCAGCCCCTTTCCTCAGCCCCCTGCCCCCCGCCGCCCCCTTCCTCGGGGGTGGGGCAATGGGGCCCTGCTCAATGCAGTCTGATGCCGAAGCCTATGTTTATGCCACTGTACCAGGCTCGGTCTGAAGCCCTTCCAATCCAAACCACCCCATGAAAACGACTCATTCATTGAATTTATTTTGTAGCATTATTTTTACTTATTACAAAGGTAGTGTATTGTCGTTGTGAAAAGTAGAAAAGTGTAGAAATATGCAACAATGAAGGGCCACCTTTAATCTCATTCCCCAGAAATACTCATAATTCATGGTTTGATTACATTCCTCCAGATTTTTTTCCATTTCACATTATTGTTTCTTCACATACATGCATGCTACACTATACCTACTACTCTGAAACCTATTTTTTTCAGCTGTGTATTTCCTTAATGAGCACTTTTCTTAATGGTGGTATAATCTTTTCTTCTATAGATGTCCTACAATTTTTTTACTTGGTCCAGCATGCCTGCACTTTTGAGTTCTTTCTCTTTGCTCACAATAACAAACAATGCTATAAGGAACATCCTGGTGTCTATATTGGATTCTTTTTTTGTAATTTTTTTTTCTTACTAACTCAAATCTTTTGAAAAGACTTCCATTTTCAGCATATGTTAATTGTACAAAGTAATGAGTTTCACTGTGGAATTTACATATATATTCATGTTCATTAGCCTTTCTTATCCCCGTCCCTATTTTCCTTTCCCCATCCCTATTAGTCTCCCTTTTATTTTCATGTGCTCCCCAGGCTCCAAATTCCACATACAGAAAACATGCAATACTTGTTTTTGTAAGTCTAGTTAAGTCATCTAGTACTATAGAAATGCCTTCACACCATGTTTCCTGAGGCACTGTTCACAATTAGCCTAGTGCCCATCAGTGCGTGAAAGGATAAAGGCTTCCATTTTTATAAAAAATTTGTCAATACTCCTGTTTCACCTTCTTCTCTGAACTGTTACTTCTTCCAGTCCAGTAATGTCACCTCACCGTTTTCTTACCTTTCAGGCTCTGTCTCCTACCCAAGTTAGATATAAACCTTCATTATCTTCCAATTCTAATGTCCTAGATTCATATCCCTTCCAAATCATAAATAACCTCCAATGCCAATATAACAAAATTCTCAATTTTGAGAACATTGAGGGATTATTAAAGGGCCCTAGGAATGGAGACAACATGGATGCCATAGGTGTGTATTTTAGAAAGAACATCCAAGTTTTTGTATGGGGTATGGATTAGGTGTCTTCTTGGAAACAGAGAACATAGTTATGACTTTGGAAGTCATTCAGATAAGCAATGCTTGTGAGTTGGCCTAGAGTACTAGCAGTGAAGGAAGTTAAGAAGTGATTGAACTCAAGAACTGGGAGACAGTGTGTGGGGTAGGGGGGAGAAGTATTAGGAGTTGGTGAATTATTGGATTGTGGAGGGAGGGGTTGAGAGGAGGGACATATTGGAAGGAACTCTTGGGGACCTGTTTGACATTTTGTATAGATAGCGACCCCTTTCATTGAGATATGGGACACTGAAAGATGAATGGATTTGAGAGGAACTGAATGCTGATTTTGAGGTACCTATGATGGTACATCTGGTGGAAATGTCTTACAGGCAGTTAAATACACGTGTCTGAATCTTAGGATAAAGGCCTGAGCAGAAAGTATCAATCTAGGAGTTATCATTGTATAAGTGGTTCTTTAATTCACAGGAAAAGGCAAGCACACCCAGGAGTAATGCACCACAATGAAAGAGACTGGACCCAGGGATAAGCCCTAGAAACCAACAACATGTATGGTATAGGTTAAGCCAAAAGGTCCCATGAAAGAGGCTGTAAGAAATGAAGAGAATACAGGAGAAAGCACTGTCACCAAACCAAGGGGAAAAGACTGTTTTAAAAGGAGAGAGAGGTTGGAGTGGGGATCTAGCTTGAGTGATAGAACACTTACCTAGTATGTATGAGACCCTAGGTTTGATCTCTATCACTGGCAAAAAAAAAATACACATCTTGCTGCTTCTTTATAGGTGGATGTGGTGGCACACGATTGTAATTGTAGCACTTAGGGACTAGACAGGAAAGAGAATTGAAAGTTACCAGCTAGCCTAAGCTAAAGAGAAGGAGAGGACAGGAGAGAGAGGGAGAGGGAGAGAGGGAGGAATGGAGGGAGAGGGGAAGGGGAGAGAGGAGAGAGGAGAGAGGAGGAGGAGGAGAGAGAGAGAGAGAGAGAGAGAGAGAGAGAGAGAGAGAGAGAGAGATATTAAATGCTGCCAAGGGGTCAAGATGTTCAGCTGTCCAGGTATTTTGGCAGTTAGAATTAGGTACCAATTTTCTTCTTTTTCCTTAGTAATAGAGTATCTAATTTTTAGAAAAATATCCCCCTAAATAAAGACCATGAAATACTCAGGCTACAAGTTAGTATGGTAGAGCCGCAAACAAAAAGAAACTAATCCCTAACAATTTCACCATGATTACCTACTTTTGGATTTCTTTTAATGAGATAAATAGGTGTTTGCCTTATTTAACCATTGTTATTTTAGAGTCTATATCATACAGCAGTTTCTTGATGCTTATGAGTGGCAGGTATGGTATTCATGACAATTAGTAGTTTTTAAAGAAATGCCTGAGCCTGATATCAAGGCTCTCCCCAAATCTACCCATTTGCCAGTCTTTTACATGCTATTTTGTTAAATAGAACACTTTACTATCAGGAGATGTGCCCTTCCTTCTCTTGCCTAGTAGCTTTTGCTCATGGAATTTCTTCCCTGTGGAACACCTTCTGTTACTTCTATCCCTGTGTTGTGTCAATCTCTGTTACAACTTCCAACATTTAGATTTCTACGTTGTCTCATTTGCAGTTTCTGGAGGAACAGAATCAGAACCTTAGATATTTTTGGATCTCACCTAATGAAGTGATCCAAATCACAATCCAACTTTACCACAGGGACTATCTCACCACCATCCTCCCTAGTTTTACCATTTTTCTAACACAATACCATAGATATTTTAGCGCCTGGAGATCAGAGAAGGGAGATAACCTTATCAGGAGATTAAAAAAAAACAAGTTAGCTTAAAATGTTTACCCTTTGACTAAAAACATATTTCCTTCCATTTTCTTCTTGTGAACTATAGAATTTTTTATTATTATTTTTATTTTATGTGTATGAGTGTATTGCCTGCGTGTATGTGAGTGCACCCATGTCATGCAATGCCGTGGAGGACAGAAGAAGGCTTCTGATTCCCCTGAAACTGGAGTTAAGGACGGTTTGTAGCCGCCATGTGGGTTCTGGGATTCGAACCTGGGTCCTCTGCAAGAGCAGTCAGTGCTCTAGCCATCTCTCCAGCCCCAATGAACTATAGAATTTTTTGATCATCGGTATTCATGTATAAAATCTGAAGAATCTAAGTGACTAAGTCTCAGATCTATTTCTAATATCCATAGATCATCAGAAAAATGTCTGAGATGATAGGCTGGTACAATGGGTCAGTGGGTAAAGGCACTTGCCAGCAAGCCTGATGAGTTTGATCCTAAGAACCCACCTGGTAGAAGGAAAGATCTGACTCTTGCAAGTTGTCCTCTGACCTCCACAGACACACATACGTACACTGAATAACTAAAGTGTAATAAAGATTTTTAAAAAATATTTATTTATTTTATGTGTATGTCTATATTGCCTGCTTGTAGGTAAGTGCACCCATGTCATGCAATGCCTGAGGAGGACAGAAGAGGCTATCGGATCCCCTGGAACTGGAGTTACAGCAGTTGTTAGCTGCCATGTGGGTTCTGGGATTCGAACCCGGGTCTTCTGCAAGAACAGTCAGTGTTCTTAACCGCTGAGCCATCTCTCCAGCCCCTAAGTTTTTAAAGCAATAAAAAAAAGTACATGAAATTATATAGATCCCACATACTAACTAAGGAAAAAAATGAAAAGTAGAGTTACCACCAAGCATCTCCACTAAGATAAGGAATTCTGGCTAAATATCGCTCAGCATAGAATGTCAGGATGAAGCTGCCTTATTCAGGAGTATCAGGACTCCAGATCCCTGAAGCTAAAGGGGGATGTGCCGAACATCCCTACCACCAATCCTGCCTAGCAAATTTCTCTTCCCTTGAAATATATAGAATCAGTCAACAAATTTTGTAAAATTCAGAGGTAATGCTGAGAGAAAGTGGCAAAAATTTCCTTCCAGAGCATTTCTTTGGTCTTTTCTTTGGTCACCTAAGCTGTATAGCACAGCAAATTAGAAATTGGAGCTCAGACTTTCTTATCCTTTGAACTCCATTGCCTTTCTCATTACCAGGAAAAGCCCTGTGTGCCCCATTTCTGGGTGAGTCCTTTCTGTCCTCTAACTTAATGACATCTCCATTCCTTCTCATTTCCAAGTTCGTCTGTCTTCTCTTTTGAAATCCCAGTGGAATCTCCTTTTTTTTTTTTTTCCTATTGTAAGGCAATTTAACTCATTTCATGTTACTCTAATAAACCCTTAAGTTTGGCGGGCTATCTATCCCCCCCAAAAACAACTACCTTTTGTTACGTAAAAGACGAGTTTCCCATATCTGACTGTACTGACACAGAGGCCTACTAAGAACAAGACTGTGAGAAAGGATTGGGCCATTCAAAAGAAAATGGGGACCAACCATGTATTATGCACTACCACAAAGGTGGCATTTGCTCATAAAAAGCTTACATTTGGGCAACTCATTTTAAGTCCCCTCCTGGCTAGTGTTTCATTCACCCTTGGGAAGGATTAATGCTCTGTCTTGGGACTCAGGCTAGTGTCTATAATTGTGACTTATTAGTAGAAGAGTCACACCTCACCATTTGAGCTCTCTTTGCTTATGGTTGTACCATTATGCTGTTTGTGTTGTTGAGATGCAGTCAAGGATGCCATCAACAGAGGTGCAAAAGATGGGACCAGATAATCTTAGACGTTGAACATGCACCCTTAGGTACTTTATTATAGCAATAGAAGAGCTAAAACACCCTCCCTCTTCCTAAACGTGTTAGGGACATTTCAGTATGATTTTCATCTATGGAGGCAAGTCTAACTTGATATTCATTTTAAAAGTATCATAAGATATATAATTATTTCAAGCCAGGCGTGGTGGTGCAAACCTGTAATCCCAGAATTTGGGGGGCAGAAGCAGGATGACTGCCCTATGTTCTAGGCAAGCCTGGTTTACATAGCGAATTCCAGGCCAACTAAGAGCTCCAATTTGAGACCCCCCCACTTGTGAAAAAAATTGTTTCCTTTGTGAGAGCAACATAAGGTTTCTAATATTTTATTTTTATTAAAATCATAAGGGTATATGGTATCAACCCAAAAAAGCATATTATAAAAATAACCCCAAGCTTCACCACTCTACATCAGCATCCCACGCCCTTGAAGCCAACTTTTAAAATTTTTTAGTTTTTTTGGTTTTCATACAAGCATATGTTGTATGTTAAGTATATTTTCCTGCCACTCTTTTCTTACCCCTCCCCCGGTAGCCCCTTTTCTTCTATACTGTTTCACTTCTACCTTTGTGTATATGACATTGTGTATCAATATAAAATCCGAGAACCACAAATAAGAGAACACATATGATATCTGTCTTTCTGAGACTGACTTAATATGACTACTATGATTATGTCAAGCTGCATCTGTTTTCCTGCAAAGAACATAACTTTGTTTTTGAAGCCATCTTTTAAGAATTTTTTGGTTTTAAACCAGGTGTGGTGGTGCACACCTTGAATCTCGGCACTTGGGAGGCAGAGGTAGGTGGATCTCTGTGAGTTTGAGGCCAGCCTGGTCTACATGGTGAATTCCAGGCCAACCACAGCTACCTAGTGAGATCCTATCTCAAAATACAAAAAAAAAAGAATTTTTGGTTTTTGTTCTCTTTTGGTTTGGCTCTCTTCACAATTCTTGATAATATGTTTATAATGTCTATTGGCTTCTAAAATTTGGACAATATTCTATTAAGTCCCCAAAATGGAATGTGAATTCCCCTCCTGCACACAGCTTCACTCCTTCCTCCTTCACTCTTCTACAGTGGCTAACATCAATATTTCCCTTTTGTTATTGCTTGATTTTGTAGTCTGAAAAATATGCAGACCTCAATTTCATATCTTATCCATTTTTGACAATTATTCCAACTGCCTGCTTTTAAAAACAAGTATGTTAGGGCTATTAGTCACACATTACCCATCAGTGCCCCACATTATTTGTTTCATCTTTCCTTTTATATTATCCGTTTACAGTCTGTTCTGCAGCAATAGCCAGGTCTTCCCTGCTTTGTCTCTCCAGGTTGAAACTTAAATCTGCATTTACATTGTTATGACTACGTAAATTTTTTCAAAATCCAGTTAAGTAGTGAGTCAAGAAAATGCTTCCTTCTTTACAAGTCCAATACCACAATCTTGTGCCTCTCAAAGGAGAGTGTTTCTAGCATTAAGGTCAAATGGAGTTTCTCTTATACCCTATTAGTTGCTTATAACCACATTTTATTTTGTTTTATATTTAAACCACAACTTTCTTGTAGAATTATATACAGACTTTGTGATAGCTTTTATTTTTCCTAAATCATATGTCTTTATGTGCCAGATAATGGTCACGGAGCCGAAGACATAGCAGTGAAAAAGACAGGTGGTAATCCCTGTCCCCCATGGAAATGATTTTAGTAAGGGGAACAGAGAAAATAATCAGATCAAGAAGTAAAATCTGTAACAGGCAAAAATGTGTGAAAAAATGCTATGGAGAAAAATAAAAGCCAGGTGTAGTGGCTCACTCCTTAATTCCAGCACTCAGAAGGCCAACAAAGGAAGATCTGGAGTTTGAGGCCAGCCTGAGCTACAGAGTAAGACTCTGTCTTTCAAAAAAATTGAGACGGGGAAGGGAGAGAGAGAGAGAGGAGAGAGAATGAGAGACAGGGTAAAAGAGCTAGAGAATGCCAGTGAAGGAAAGAGGTAATTTCTATTTTAAATAGGTTGGTCAAGAAGTAACTCAATAAAAAGATAGCATGTGAACAAAAATTTACATAAGGTGAGAGAGCAAAGTGGATGCCTGGGAGAAGAACCTTCCAAGCAGAAAGGTCAGTTCAAGGATCCCAAGGCAGGATCATGCATGGCCCTATTTTTCCACCTCTGACATTTTAGAAGAGGATAAACTCCAGAGTTGCTTGAGTAGTCAAAGGACAAAGAGAACTAATAGACTCTGAGCTCAGAAAGGTAATAAGAGCTTGCTTGCCTAATCAGCTCCATTCACATAAGACCCTATAAGTAGGCGATGGTGGAATCCACCATGGATTTTTAACAGAGAGGAAGAAAAATGTGGATTGAGTTTAAAGGATCTGAAAATGTACTGATGGAAAACAGAAGAGGGGCTGATAAAAGTGGAAGAAGGCTAGTGTGGGAATTGCTGAGGTGATGGAGTTGGATTCACTATTTTCTGGATTCATTGTTCTGACCCCAACTCCAGAGATCTTTCTTTAGCCGTAGGAAATTACTTTCCGATACATTTTTATTTTTATTTTTGTTGACAGGGTCTCAATATGTAGCCCTGGTTAGCCTGACACTCACTTTGGAGACCTGGCTGGCCCTGACTTGCAGGAATCCTCCTGCCTCAGCCTCCCCACTTACAGATATGCACCATCACGCTAAGCGCCTAATACATTTCTTTAAAAGATTTCTTTTCTTCCTTTACTCTGTAACTTTTCTTTAAATGTTGAGCCTGCTAGATTGATCTGTATCTTTTCTTTTTTCATATTTCCTGCTTGTTTTGATTATCTGTTTTGTTGTTGCTGTTTGGTGGGTTGGTTGGGGGTTTTGCCTTATATTCTAAGAGATTTCTTTGATGTTATTTCCTAGTTTTTCGGATGACTTCTTTATTTCCAGCAACTTTTTGTCAGTTTTGAGTTGCCTTTCTTTTCTCTGGTTGTCCCTGTTTTGTAGCATATAGTTCTTGTTTTATGCGTATTTTCTTGAATCATCGAAAATGTTATCATTTTTTCCTGAAGTTCTCTTTTGTTCCTCAAATTTCCAATTTTCTCTAGGTTTAGTTGTTCTATTTGTTTATTTAGTTTATTGCTTCCATGTTACAGTCTTCTTAATTTGCCTGAGGAACCTTTGCTATCTGTTCATCTTTAAGAGCGAGACTGGGTACCTCATGGAGTTTTCTCTGTTGCTTGTATAAACAAAACTTTTCTTTAGCTAGAACTCTCCCCCAAGAGGAATTTTTTGTTGTTCTAGACATGGTCTCACATATCCCAGGCTGTCCTCAAACTTCCTATCTAGCTGAGTATGACCATGAACTTCTGATCCTCCTGCTTCTACCTGCACAGTGCTGAGATTATAGACATGCTCTACCACACCTGGTTTATAGGGCACTAGAGACCCAACTCAAGACTTCATGAATGGTGGGCAAGCACTCTACCAATTGAGCTATATCTCCAGCACCCTCCCATACTGAGGAAATTCCAATGGGAAACTTTGGGTGGGCTTGGAAGAGATGGCAATTGACAAGATTTGCCCATGGCCACAATAAGAATTTGTTGTGCAGTATTAAAGACCATAGGGCAAATTAGAGTGTCTTTGCACCAGTTTATAAAATGTCCTCAGAGGGTTGGTTTTGTTACTGAAGTTAGGTGCTGGAACTCTTGTGAATATGATCTATGTACATGAGATAAGTGGTCTGACACATGCTAATGGTCCCTGTGCAGACCTACTCTTCACTCCATCCTCCACAGGACCTGTAAAACCTTGAGCCCAAAGTACTTCCAGTCTGCATCTCTCTTCCATTCCCATATCTCCAGCAGGACAGAGGGCTTCCCATACTCTTTGGTTGTTGTTCTTAAGACAGTCTCACTGGCATGGCACTTACTAAGCAGCCTAGGCTGGCCTTGTATTCATAATTCTTATGTGTCAGTCAGTCTCCCAAGTGCTGGGATTATAAATGTGTGCCTGACCACATGATTTTTGTTATACCTCATCTGAGCAAGTATTTACCGAATGCTTTTGATATACCAACCATCCCAAAAGTACAAAATCACTTAATGTTCACATTTGTATGAAATGCCGTTATTATCTTCATTTTACACATAAGAAAACTGAGACTTCAGAGAGGTTAGTTGACTTGCTCAATACCACGCAGCTAGTAAGTGGCAGAACTTCGATCAAGCCCAGATGTTCTCAATCCAGATTCTGTAATTTTTTGTCTGTTTTTTTGAGACAGGGTCTCCCTGTAGCCCCAACTGGCCTGGAACTTAACCAGGTTGGCCTAGATCTCACAGAGATTTACCTGCCTCTGTCTCTCACATGCTTGTATTAAAGACATGTGCCACCACGCCTGGTTCCAGCATCTGTTTTTTTGAACCACTGAGTTATATTCTTTTTCATTTCTGCCTCAGTTCATCTTGACCTCTGACTATTCAGGAGAGTGAAAAATCTTGTGTTTGTGGGACCTTACATTGTTGTAGTCCCTCCTGTGTCAAGACTAAAGTCAATAGCAGAAAAGGGCAACACTGGATGTTTGTCTCTCTGGCCCTCTTTAAAGTCTACTACCTTTGTAAGATCAGTACTGAGTGACCTTTCCCTGGTTCCAGTAATTGGGTTCCAGTGGATGTTTATAGGAAAGAAAAACCCCACCCTGAGCCAACATAGCAAACAGACAGACCCAGCACTCTGGTATGTTTAGTTTCCATTCATCTTACGGCTAGATGAAGGGGGAAAAAGGGAGGCATGGAACTGGCCCTTCTCCAGGCAAGATGCCAGCTCCAGCTCTTGGACAATCCTGACTTGTGTAGGCCTCAATGGCATATTCAGAGACTTCTCCACACTTCAGTATGGACCCTCCCTCTCAAGGAAAGGGCTACCTGGAAGTTTAAAAGAGGAGGATTTGAAGACTGGGCTCAGATATCCTGGACGTGAACAACAGACACAGGCCAGAAGTAGCACCACGTCTGAATGGAGGTGCCTCAGCTATGTCAGTTTTTTTCTGACCATTCTCCATTACCTAACACACCAGGGACCCCATGGCCCTGCCTCATCGAGTACCAAGGTCAGTTATGGCATGAGAGGGCAAAGCTCTGGAATTTGTGAAAAAAAAATAGCTCCTTGGGGTGGGGGTATTGGGAGAAAGTTTTTCAGTCTGTTTCTTTAAGGGCTGAGAAAACCAGGCCAGAGAAAAAGGGTGGCTATTTGCTGAGTGCATGTCAGGTGTTGCAGCAATGGTCTTAATTATTATTTCAGCTAGTCATCACAGCATCCCTGTAAGCCAGGCTCTATTATTCCTCCATTAGAGAAAGGAGGAAACAAAGGCTCAGAGGTTAAGACTCAGAGGTTGTACAGTCAGAACTTAGATCTATGTACATCTGATCCCAAATTGCCTCCATTTTTCACTTCTCTGTGCTAAGAACAAACTATATGTATATAACATGTGGGTAGACAGATGGGGAGATTGTGACTACAGGGATGGTAAACAAGAAGTTATCTTACTAATGGATGAGCTCAGTCTCTGAGGTTCACATCCTCAGAGTAATCAGTTAACACATCCATAAGATATGGGAAATAATAATATTTAACTCCCAAGACTGATGTGAGGATTAAATAAGATCATACATACTGAATACTTATCATGCATGCAGTACATGATTGTACTTATTAGGTTCAGTCCTTACACCTGAAATAATAAAGAAGATTAAAAAACCCCTAAATGTCACATTGACTTGTGAGAAAGTAGGGTCCGATGAATACAACCATTCTGTTACATTTTAAAGCCTTACTAAAGTGCTATATTCATTCTAAATGAAATCCATGGACCACCAGCAGAAGCCCTGGGGACCCTTTTACCAATGAGAATCTCAGCCTCTCCCAGACTCTAGAATTGCTAAATCAAAATCTGTATTTTAGCAAAATCTCCTGAGTTTATGTGTGCATTAAAGTTAGAGAATCCCTTGTCTAGAGAAGCTTTAGTTTGTGATCTTCTCTGAGCCTTTGGGTCTGAGACTTGCTAAACTTACTACACTCTCAGGTAGATTCACTAAATGCATAACAGAGGCCATTTTCACTCCTTTGCACCTCAGTTTCTTCACCTCTACCTGGAAGACAGTTTAGGAAGCTTGGGTTCCCAAGTACCAGCCCATCTGGGTCAATAAAGATCTCTTTCTAACTTACCTCTTGTCTTCTCTCTCAGCTGTTGATGACAAGCTATTCCGTATGCTCCACTGTGGTGTCTTGTTATGCCCACACCTTGGTCACCTCTATCCCCTTCAATCCACATACTGAAGCCCATGAAACCATCTTTGATGTGAATCTGCCTCACGTCGCTTTTATCTCCAACTTCACTCTGTAAGTCTACTTCCAAACTCATTGTTTAATTAATTTATGTATATATTCATTCCGTCTTTTGTTTTGTTCTTCTAGTAGAGCAGAGTGGTGGTAAAAAAGGAGTAACAATAGTGAAGCAAGGGTAATCTTGAAGGACCAGCCAAGAGGCTGAGAAGCTAAGGAGAGTCCTACTATACTGGGGTATGGCATGATACAGTGGTGGTGGGACTGAAGAGACCATTGGAGGGAGGAGCGACTTGTTTATGGAGGGAGTAAGTAATATAAATGGTGCATGACTTTTTTCTGTTTTGTTTTGTTAGATAACAGGGCCCTGGTTGAGATGATGAACAAAAGAAGAATAAGTAGATAAAGATTTGTTAGCCCATATAATACTTTAGTAAAAACAACAAGAAGACTTCTGGGGCTAGGGGTGTAGCTCAGATGGTCAAGTTCTTGCCTAGTACACACAAAGCCTGGGATTCAACCCCCAGCAATTCATAAATGGCCTTGGTGGTGCACACCTGTAATACCAGCACTTAGGAGATAAAGGCAGGAAGATCAGAAATTTAAAGTCATCCTCGGCTATTATAGTGAGCTCAAGTTCAAGGCCAGCCTTGGATACCTTAGATCCTGCTTCAAAAGAACAAAATGGTAGAGGGGACTTCTGACTGAGTGAAGACACTCTCATACTTAGTAGATTAGGAAGCCCAGTAAAAATATAATTTCTGCCCTTGCTTAGTCACCCTCACCCCTGTGATTGAAGAGAAGGTCCTTGTACCATAAACAATCTCTATAGCCCTGGAGGCCATATTGTACCATCGAGAACCTGCTGGCTGCACTTTGGAGAGCGGCTAGGCTGGCAGAAGGTGAAGTCAGTATAGGGCAGAGGAACTGAGGCAGTTAAGGAGGGCTTCCTGGCAATAGGATTTCCATACAGGTAAGATTTGAAGGGACCAAGATGTTGGGGACTTAAAAAAAACAAAGACCAAAACCAAAAGCAACCCCCAAACAAAACCCAGGCATCATATGAAGTATAGGGGCTGACCTGAGAGATTCGCAGTCAATTGATGACAAGCTATCAGGCAGAATTTGGATTTTATTTTAACAGGAAAAAATACACCAAAAGGATTTTTTAAAAATTAAGCAAAGCAGGCTGGAGAAAATGTTCCTGGGAAGACTCTGTGGAAAGTATACTGGCTGGAGGCAGCACACACACAGAGGCCCCACTGTGCTGCTGCCAGAGTAGCTCCACCCTAACCACTCCAGCCCCCAGGAGACCTTGAGGCCCAGCCAACTCTGTCCACCCCCACACTAGCGAGCCTAGGCAATACTGTTTCAGCTGCCTTGAAACACTTCTTGCCTGAGTAGTCTCTTCTGCCAGCTGTAGGTCTTCCTTTAGCATTCCTGGAAGCTGCTGCTATCTGTGCCCTAGTTACTCCATTTGTGAAATGGAGACAGTTGTTCTCATCTCCTATAGAGGTGTACTAATGTTCTCTAGGACACCAAACTCTCACAGCTCAAAGGCTAGTTCTGATCCCATCCATCTCTTCCCATTTTGAGACTTATCCATCATTCCACATTCACCATGGCAGAGCCCTTACTGCAATATAAGCTCACTGAGTTTTAAGTTCAAAGTCCTGTATTCTCTAGCCTTCTTTCTACATCTCCCTTCTCTTTGATCCACTGTTCTGTGAAACATACTCTCCTTCTCTTACTGTTACTCTGGGCTACCCATTATGAAATAACTGAGTGTTTACTGTGTGCCAGGCCAAATTCCTGATGCAAGTAGCAAATCAGACAGATGAAACCTTTGACTTCAAGGAGCTCATAGTCTCCCAGAGAAGATAAGACATGGAAAACATAAACAAATATGCATCAGTTTGTCCATTAGAAGTGTTACAAAAAATAGAGAATAGAGCGAGAGAGAGAGAGAGAGAGAGAGGAGATTGAGTGGAAGGTTCCAGTTAATAGTGATCAAGATGTGTTTCTGAGGAAGTGGCATTAAGGACCTGACAAGAGATGATGTGAAGACTTGTGAAGATCTGGAAGAAGAACATTCTAGACAAAGTGAAGAGTAATTACAAAGGTTCTGAGACAAGAGTATACTGTAAAAGTTGAAAAAAAGCAAGGAATGCTATATACAATAGTTAAAAGTACAAACAAACTTAGGGTCCAATTAATGAATGACTAAAGAAAATTTGATGCCCAAATGCACCATTAAAAAGAATGAAGTCTTGTGACTCTGACAACATAGATGGGCTAGGCATGTTGGCCCACGACTGTGAGCTCAGCAGTTTGATGGCTGTAGACAGAAGATAGGGAGCTCAAGACCAGCCTAGATCACACAGCAAAACCCTGTCTCAAATTTTTTTTAAAATTCTGTTTGTGTGGGATATGGCAACTTATGCCCATAATACCAACATTTGGAAAGCTGAGGCTGGAAAATTGGGAGTTTGAGGGTAGCCTGTGCTAGAGCAAGACCCTGTCTCACAAACAAAAACAACAAGGGCCCAGAGTGGAGAAAAGGAAATGGGCGGTGGGCCAGCCAGCCCTAGCCTGGGAGCTGTTGGCAACTAATTACTGCTGGGTAAGTGTAGATATTCCTTAAGATATCTAGATTGACTAGACTCCAGTGAATGAACTTGCACTGAAGGACATCAGGGTGCAAATGCTTGACTGGATAGGACTTAACACATATGATAGAATGCATGATGTCCCGTGGGGGGGGGGCGGCATGAGGACATGGATGGGGGAGGACATCTAAATTTGATTAAGGCCATTGTATGAAATGTATAAAATCTCAATAAAAATATTTTTAAAAACAAAAACAAAGTTCTCACCCTCCCTCCCCTAATGGATGGAACTGGAGATCATTAGGTTATATGAAGTATGTCATCACAGTATGGCAAATACCATATGATCTCACTACTATCTGGAATTTTAAATGTTAATTCCATAGAATTTTAGAGTGGCATGATGACTTCCAAAGACTGGTAGGGATAAGGGTTGTAGAGAACTAGAGCATTCCAGTTACAGATAGGAGCAATAAGCTCTAGGGTAATGTAGCATAATATAGGTAATAATTACATACCATACTTAAAAAACTGTAAGAAAGAGATCTGAAATTTTTCATCATAAAGAAATAATAAAGCCCAGCATGGATGGGAGAGGTAGGCAAGAAGCCCCAGCCGCAGCTGAGGATCCATTGGCAATTTACAGATGCTGGGAGAGAGAAAGTCACTTTTCCTTACTAGTGTGATGACTTGGTACATTGACGGGACTCCAAGGGATAGATTCACCGTTACAAATTAGACTCAATGGGTCTTTAAGAAAAGATGAATAATAACAGAGGACATGAAGTCAGTGGGGGGGTAGTAAAATGTGGATGGGAAGGGGGAGGGAGTCTAAATATGATCAAAATACGGTGTATGAAATTCTCTAATCAATAAAAATATTTTAAGAAGAGAAACGATAAATGCTTGAGTGTATAAATGGTTAACCTGATTTAAACATTACATAACGTATACATGTATCACATGGCTATCAAACATTAGATAGCCATTAGTATGTAAACTTTTATGGGGTTTTTATGTGTGCATGTTTGTGTCCACGTGCACAGGCATGTGCATGTGTGCGGAGTTCAGAGGTCAACTTCAGGTGTTGTTCCTCAGACACCATCCACATTTTTTTGTGAGACAGCATCACTCACTGATCTGGAACTTGCCAGCAAGACTGACTGGCTAGCCAGTGAGCCCCAGGGATCCATGTATCTCCACCTTCTCAATGCTGGGACTCCAGGATTTTAATTTTATTTTTAAAATACTCATGACAAAAAAGGGGCAAGAATATTAAGTTCAAAACCATTCTGAGCTACATAGTAAGCCGTGCTCTTAGAAAATAAAGGAAAAGAAGATAGGAAGGTGATGCTACACGTACATACAGAGTGAGTTCAAAACCAGCCTAAAGTACAATGAGATCCCTGACCCCAAGAAACAGACCCACACCTATGGGCACTTGGAAAACACAGATTAGATTTGATAGGCCTTTAAAAAGATAATAATAAAGGACATGGGGGTGACAAGTAAGATGGAAGTGGAAAGGGGGAACGGAAAAGTAAAGTAAATAGCAATAAAGTCAGCATGACAAGAGCAAGATGAGAGGCAGCAAGAGTAGGAGGTGATGGGGTTGGAGAGGTAGCAGTAAACTAGCTTGTGTAGAACCACAGGGGGCCTAGTGAAGAGTTTTGTTTATTTGCAGTTGAGATGGAAGCTACAGACAGTTTTGAGCAGAGGAAATAAAATGTCTTTATTTAAGATAAACAGAATACTTCTGACTGCTTTGAGAACAGTCTACAAGGAGTAAGGATTTAAAGAGGGAGACCAGTTAGTAGGTTATTGTGTTTACTCAAGAAAAAAAAAATATTGGTAGTTTGGACCAGGGCAATAATTGTAGAAGTAGTGAAAAGTGGTCAAATTGTAGATGTATTATAAAGATAGAGTCAAATTCCCTGATGGCCTAGATGTGGAGTATAAAAGGAAGAGGGGGGTAGTAAAATGTGGGTGGGGAGGGGGAAGGAGTCTGAATATGATCAAAATACAGTGCATGTTAAGTCAAACATAACACTAAAGTTTTTATCGTAACAACTATTTCCTGAGATGAGGAGGAACAGACTTGGGAGTGGGGAGATGTTAGGGGCTCAGTTTGGGATATGTTAAGCTTGAGGTGCCTATTGAACATTTTAGTGGAATTATCAAACGAGCAGTTTGACGAATGGCTCTGGAGTTCAGGAGTGCAGATATACTCTAAAGAAACAGATTTGGGAGTCTTCTGTGTATTAATAATTTTTAAGGTCACAGGCCTTGATTACATCACCTAAAGAGTGAATCTAGAAAGAAGAGAAAAGGTGAGTAGATGGGAGAGAAGGAAGGGAGGGTCAAGAACAGAGCTTCCAGAGTGTTCCAGAGATTTAGAGATCATAAGGAGAAGGAGCCCGAGAAGGTAAGATCAGTGAGGATGGTTTACCATACCCTCTCTGTTTTTCAGACCCAGTTCCAAGGCCATCTCCTATAAATTTTTTAACACTTTTTTGTCTTTCTTGGAGAAATGGGGGAAATAGGGATGTTTGTTTGTAATTCATCAGTCTCTGAGCTCCCTACTAACAAGGGTCCCTCCCAAGTTCAGTCCAGAAGCCTTTGTAGTAATTTGTACATCCCTGACAATTTTTACCACCTATACCACACCATTTACAATATTACCTGTGTTTTCTTTTAAAAAGATAGTTTTCAGATTGTTTGTCATATCCCAAGCAACAGAATCCATAAGCTAATGGGTTCAGTGTAGCATGAGTGTGTGTGTGTGTGTGTGTGTGTGTGTGTGTGTGTGTGTGTGTAATATTTGAGACAGGGGGCTGAAGAGATGGCTTGGCAGTTAAGAGCAATTGACACTCTTGCAGAAGACCTAAGTTCAGTTCCCAGCACCTACATGGCAAGTCACAAATGTCTGTAACTCCAATTTTGTGGGTTCTGACACCCTCTTCTGGCCTATGTAGACACTGCATGCATTGGTGCACATACATGCAGGCAAAATGCTCATATACATAAAATAAAATAAATACATCTTAAAATAAAACTGGAGACAGAGTCTTAATAAGTTTCCAAGATTGGCCTGAAATTCACTATATACCCCAGACTGACCTCAAATTAGTGATTCTGCTGTCTCAGCCTCTTGAGTTTACAGGCCTACCACCATGCCTAGCTTGATGTGTTTTATTTAAAAGTAAATGTTGTACCCAGGCATGGTGGCACACGCTTTTAATCCCAGCACTTGAGAAGAAGAGGCAGGTGGATCTCTGTGAGATCAAAGCCAGTCTGGTGTACATAGTGAGTTTCAGGCTAGCTGGGGCTACAGAGAGACCCTGTCTCAAAAATACCAAAAAAATGTTGTAGTAAATACATAAAAATTATAATAAAATGTTCAGCTACGTTATACCTAAAAAGATTTTTGTGTATCAAAAGGCAAACATTATTTATTCAATACATTGAGAAACACAAAAATCCAACACTGGCTCTACCGCACGCTCTATGATCTTGTCTTTTCCCATCTGACAAATAGATACTAGAACATGTTTTATCTCTTTTGCTCTACTCAATTCTTCCTGCTCAATTTTGAGTATAATGTTATTTTGCTCTTTCCTTTTTCCATCCCCTCCATTTCCTCCTCTTTCTTTGTATTTATGTTTTGAGCATCTTTTTTGTTCCTTCTCTGTCTCTGTTTTCCCTTCTTTTTCCTGCCCCATCAGGACCATCAACAATAAAGTCTGTGTTTCAGAAATAAAGGAGAAGCACCAGGCAAAGAAAATCTATGAAGAAGCCTATCATCAAGGAAAGATAGATGCTCATGTAGGCATCAGGTAAGACTCTATCTAGTCTGAAATATGATTAAGTCATCTTAGCTATGTGATGAGGACAGATATACCTTCTCTCTGGGCCTCATTCTCTACTTCTTGAAAATGAAGTTAGTTGAAGATAGCACTTCAACCAGTTATTCATAGTTATTACTACTTCATAGGATTACATAAAGATTATGGGAATCAGCACAAAGCCCATAACAGTAGATTTTCAATAAGTGGGCATTTACTTCCCCGTTTTTTAGTTTTCTTCTGCTAGGAAAATGTAGCTTGCTTAAGAATTGGTACCATCTGGGAAGGTTGTGTACAAATGAGATTGTTTTACTTTTTACCTATTTTTATTTTTAATGTATTTTTATTCTTTGAGACTATTGTGCATGCATACAATGTATTTTATCAATTGAGAATATTATGCACTTATACAATATCCATCCCCTATGCCCTCTCTAACTACCCATACATCTCCTCAACACATCTACCTCCCAGTGTCATGTCCTCTTCTTTTTTTATATAATGCTCTGAGTCCAATTACTGATGCTCATATGTGAATGGGTATGGGGACCATCCACTGGAACATAGGCAACCTACCAGTGGTCATATCTTCAAAGAAAGATGACTCTCCCTCCACCAGCAGCCTCAACTATCTCCTTAGCTCCCTCATTCAAGGTGGAATGTTGACTGTCTTGATCTTTTGCAGATAACCACAGTTCCTGTGAGTTCATGAGCATAGTGGACATGTCATGTTCAGAGGACAGAATTTAATAGCAATTCTTCTCATCCTCTGACTCTTACATTCTTTCTGCCCCCTCTTCTGTGATGTTCCCTGAGCCTTGGGCTTGGGGGATTAACACAGATATCCTCTTTAGGGCTAAACACTCAGAGTCACTTATTCTGAGCACTTTAACCAGTTATTAGTCTTTGCATTAACTGCTTTCCACTACAAAAAAGGAGCTTCTGTAATCTAAGTTGAAAGCAGCACTAATTTATGGGCATAAATATAAATATTAGAAGGCAGTTTGATAATATGATTGACTGGATAGCTTCAGTTGTCAACCTGACACACATGGGAAGAGGGAACCTTGATTGGGGAGTTTCCTCTATCAGACTGGCCTGTGGGTATGTCTGTGAGGTATTTTCTTGATTATTCAGTGATGTGCCCAGTGCAGTGTTGGTGGTGCCATGCCTGGGCAGGTGATCTTGGGTTTTATAATAGAACAGATTGAACACAGACCAGAGTAGCAATCCAGTTAGCAGTATTCCTTCATGGCCTGTGCATCAGTTCTTGCCTCCAGGTTCCTGCTTGAGCTTCTGTCCTGGCTTCCCTTGATGAAGGACTGTACTGTAAACTGAAATAAACCTTTTCCCCCCTAAGTTGGTTTTGGTCAGTGTTTTATTACAGCATTTTATCATATCAATAGAAAGCTAACTAAAACAGTGACCATTTAGTAAGACAGGTTTTGAACAGATTTACAGTGCCAGGCATGAATTCCTTTCTGTGCATCAGGCCTCAAATCCAATCTGAGACCAGTTGGTTATCTCATAATAGTCATGCCACTACTGCATCATTAGGCACATCTTGCCTGGCAGATTGATATTATAGCATACAAGATTCATGGCTGGGTAAGACTGCTCATGACTTTTCTCCCCTGGCAACCTGCATAACACCTTCTGGCACTATGAAAACTAGCCAGTAGGAGGAAGTTTTCCAGTCAGTTTGAGCTTGAATTCTCTATTTTAGTAATAGGGTCTTACCATCTAGCTACAATGGGAAACCAAGAGAAACGGCAGTGTTTTTTTGGGGGGGGAATATCCAGGGCCTCCCTGACCAATAGCTAATAGGGAAGAATCCCACACCTGGCACTGGGATTTTTATTGGCTTCTAGGAGTACTATTGTCCACCCATGCAGAATACCTCCATTCAAATGCCTTTAAAAATATTCATTCATGGGGGCTGGAGAGATGACTCAGTGGTTAAGAACACTGGTTGTTCTTGCAGAAGACCCAGGTTCGAATCCCAGCTAACACATGACACGTGTTATGACACATGACAGCTAACAACTGTCTGTAACTCCAGTTCCAGGGTATCCAACGGCCTCTTCTGTCCTCACGGACATTGTATGACATGGGTGCACTTATCTATATGCAGGCAATACACTGCTACACATAAAATAAAAATAATAAAATATTTTAAATTTTTTAAAAAATTCATTCCTTTTTTTGTTTCGTTTTGTTTAGTTTTAAAGCAGTGTCTCCCTGTAGCCCCATCTGGTCTACTCTCTATGTAAACCAAGCTGGCCTCAATCTCACAGAGCTCTACCTGCCTCTGCCTCCTGAGTGGTGGGATCAAAGGCATGTGTCACCACACCTGGCTAAACTCTTTTTTCTTTAATTATAAATTTAACTAGCTTACAAAGTAGTGGGTCTCCATAAGGCTTTTTCATACATCCTTGGTTTTGGTTAATCCACACCCACCTCCTTCTCTCCCCCATACTTCCACCCTGATCACCACTTAAACCTTTGAACTCCAGTATCCCTCACTGTTATTTCATATCATGCATGTTTTACTCTTCCCTTGCCCCATTAAGGACTCTTCCCCTATCCCTCTCATGGGCCCTTTCTGGCTTCCTGACTATGACAGACATTCCAAGCTAAGTGTAGAAATCTAAAAATTCAAAGCTAGGATTCACATATAAAAGAGAAAATATGGTGTTTGTCTTTCTCAGTCTGAGTTAATACGTAAGATTTCTCTAAAAAAATTACTCCTACTTCCTAGCTGACTTCCATTCATGTGGCATAAATACTATCTTTTTTATGGTTTCCTCTTAGATTCTAAGAGAGCTTCATCCTACAGAAAAACTTTAGATACGGCTACTAAAAATTGAGTCATTTTGATATAAACAAGTTCAATTTAGCATATGAGGCTGGACAGGTTTGAGGGAAGAGTATTTAAAAGGGGCAAGGCATTGTGTTTATCTTTTTGTAGAACAAAGTACCAGCCCCCAATTGTCCAGTTTTCAATTCATGTTTTAACTAAGTTTACTTAAGGGAGAGCCACCTTTGATATAATATCTCGGGTAGAATGTTCAGGAGTGGAAATAAGGGATAGAGAAAAGATGATGAATAGATGACTGGGTAATTGACTGTGGCCCGGAAACTTAAGAGACAGAAGCTTGGTCAAGTCCACTGGGATAAGGGTGAAGTTCAGCAAAATCATGCCACCTAATAGCTCCACTGTTCTGAAGGAAATCTAATGCCCTTCCCATCCATTTCTGCTTCTTGCCCAGGGATCAGGAATCAGAAAAACTCCGAATCTCCACTAGCCTGGCATCAGGGACAAAGGTAACTTTTTCTCTGGCCTGTGAGGAACTACTGCAGTGAAATTAGGGCCAGTACCAGCTGGTGGTAAGCCTGAGGCCTGAACAACTGGTGAGGAAGGTAAATATAGAAATCACTGTGTCTGAAAGGAAGGCATCGCTTATGTGCACATACCTCCACTAAGGACCAGCTGAGTACACACCAAAGACAACACAAGTATGTGGGCAGCACTCTAAGATATCGCCATTCCTGAAGGGGAAACTTGCCAATCTGTGGGACACTACTCTAATGATGCATCTGTCTATGCTCTCTGCCAATTTCCTTCCCAAATCAGAGAGAGAGGAGGGTTTGCTAAAAGTTGAAGATATGTGGGATCCAACATCTGTGTAGTCCTTGAAGGCAAGGTGAACTTGGCATGATAGAAACTTCCTAAATTATAAATTACAATCATTACAAAGGATTCATGTTAGGGAAGAGGGATGAGATAATAAAATTCACACTGATAATGTTGAGGACTTTATAACTCATGTCAGATGAGTTCAACTTTCTCCTGGAAACCCCACAGAGAGGAGAGGGGATGCAGGCAGGGAAGAACAGGCCACCCAAGAGAGGTGCAGCTGGACTATCAGGCTTACTTGCTAGCCACATCTGTAGAATTATGAGAGGCTGCAGCACACTCACTGTATAATAGTCCAGAAACACAGAAACCTGGACCTCACCATTTCTGGAGTCTGGTTCAGTTGGTTGGGATGATAAGTCTTCATGTTTCACCAGTCCAGGGTGAACTGAACGGCCAACAAGGCTGGAGGACAACTGACCCAGTCTTAATAGCTCAGCAGGAGACAGGAGAGGTGGGTCAGCAGTTAAGAGCACAAGCTGCCCTTGAGGACCTGAGTTCAGTTCCCGGCACCCATATGGTGACTAACAACCTTATGTAACTCCAGTTACAGGGAAATCTGATGCCCTCTTCTGACATCTGTGGGCATTGCACGACATTGGTGTACCTATATACATGCAGGCAATACACTCATACACAAAAATAATAAATAAATAATTTTTTTAAAAAGAGCTCACAGGTAATGTTTATCACCTCTACTATTTAACATGAAGTAAATTTTAATGCTTCCTCCTCAAATATGTCTTCTTTTTAAGTTTATTGATTTTTTTTGTGTGTATGTCATACAGAACATCTCACACAATCTTATTCATCTATATATCCACTTCCCAAATGGCACCCTCCCATAGCCTTCCCCCTCCCACACACTGGAGCCCACATACTCTGTCATCCCTGTTACTGTCCACTGTGTTGTCGGGGCCTCCAGCCATTCCCTCGTGCTTGTCCGTCTGCTGAATCTAGTCAGCCTATCTAGAGAGCCTTGTTTTAGGAAGATCAGCTGTTCCTCATCTAG